AATTCCGAAACGTTTATCCATGGCCCCTTTTTGTCAATAAACAATGTTGTTTATCATAAGTGTCGTAATCTTGTTTATAATCGAATTTTAGGTTGTATCTACATAAATATTGAATACAAGTCTAAAGAGATTATAATATCATTGTATATGTTAGTTAAGACAACTTTATTTTTCAAATAGACTGGTTTGCATTCGAATGTGGTTAAGGTAGTTGACTTTAAGGGAAGACTTGATAAATATCTAAATGAGCAGGACTGGTTTTAAGGGTTATTTTTAAGAGTTTAACTTAGTGGATAAGACAGCCTAGATGGACCAAAAGGTCCGTTGCTGTCCTTTAATGTTATGATATGTTACATGTTATGATCTTTGAGCTGATTTTTGACAAGCTAGCAGTGTGATACAATTAAACTATCAAATAGTAATGGATCTGTAATTCTTGATACCTCTCTTCCGTGCATTTAATGGCTGTGTCGACAGTTTCGCTTAAGAAATTGACCACAGTTTTGCTATAGATTAAGGATAAGTTCATCACGTTTTTTTACATGAAAACTTTGTTTTTATTGTTTTTTTCCTGAATGAATCTGCTTTCTTGTAACAATTGTCAAGTAATTTCCGTTTATTACCACAAGCTCTCTGTATTGATGAAGTACAGCTATTGTTTGTCTAGTTGTGATATGGTTTGAGACACGTGAATATCACCTAGCCTGTGGGGCTGGCTGAAGTACATCTATTGTTTGTCTAGTTGTGATATGGTTTGAGACACGTGAATATCACCTAGCCTGTGGGGCTAGCTGAAGTACATCTATTGTTTGTCTAGTTGTGATTAGGTTTGAGACACGTGAATATCACCTAGCCTGTGGGGCTGGCTGAAGTACATCTATTGTTTGTCTAGTTGTGATATGGTTTGAGACACGTGAACATAATCTAGCCTGTGGGGCGAGCCTCATGCAGCATGAAAAAAACTAGTCATGAAGTTAAATTTTGGGAAATTGCCTAACTTTTTTTTTTTTGCCCTTGGAATGTGACTTTGTTCCATTGAATCAAGTGAAGTTGTTGCTTTCTGAAATGAATACCATCCTAATTAATATTCGAGTGCACGAACAGCATGAGCTGTATTTTCACATTTAACAGGGAAACATTTTGCAGAGATGCTCATGCGTGGGAAATTTAGTTTACAGTTGCTATTTTCAAAGTGCACGATGAGTGTAATTAATTGTATAGATCTATCGGAACTTTAAGTTGTTGTTGTTTACTCTGTCGTACAATTCTTACAATACGTTCTGTAAGAGGGAAATTTGGAATTTAACTCAAAATCTAAACATAAAGGATATAGCTGTATCTGTCAGAATGACATGAGATTAAACACACACATCAAATATTTGTTTTTATATAATGTGAGCACAAGAGCTGTTTTAGTATTTAGAATGACTGTTGTATACTTTATCTGTATACTCTGGCATAACAATTAAAAATACGAAATAAACACTAGCTGTCATATGAAAAGTGGTGATGGTAAGCACATATATTTAATAAATGCAAGCAAATCACATAGAAGCAATTGTACGTGATGAACAATGTTTTCGAAACATGCATATATATCGGATATATTGTAATTCAATATTCCACGAATTATATATGAAAAAAAAGATAGAAAAAAACAAACAAACAAAGCTGATTCTGCCCAGTGATATCAACATCCATTCAGCTTTATGAATAGCAGATATAACCGGTTTTAAAACAGTATATGTAAAACTTTTCTACGGGCCACTAAGTTCGAGCTGGGTGTGCGTGATATTTATCCAGGAGGAAGAGCAGGTTAGAGGTAAGTTTGAATTTTTAGAACGTCGAAATTCTCTGTGTTCTCAGATACGAGTAGCAAGGTTTCTTTAAACTAAAATGTAGCTATATATAAATTTTATTTGATATTTGCATACGTCTTGGGCCCGTTTGTAGTTAAGTAAACCAATTTTAATAGAACAGATATTTTATAAAAATGGACCCATTTGTTCACTTCTGACAGAGAACATTAAAACTAGTATCCAATCGTTTTAAGATATTCTTATTTCAGATATTTTGAGGAACACGTTGTGAGAGCAAGGCTTCGTGCTTAAAACTGATGTAGCCCCGAAGCAAGAATATTTTGATAGTTTTATTTCAAATAACTATTTTGGAACTAGCCATCAATACATGTATTTATGTTTCCTCGTTATACTTCACAAAGTAAACTTTCAAGACCTCTACAAAAAACTATACCTTGGTGCAATAGCGAGTCAAGTAGCACATAGTTACTACAATAGCGAGTCAAGTAGCACATAGTTACTACAATAGCGAGTCAAGTAGCACATAGTTACTACAATAGCGAGTCAGGTAGCACATAGTTACTACAATAGCGAGTCAAGTACCACATAGTTACTACAATAGCGAGTCAAGTAGCACATAGTTACTACAATAGCGAGTCAAGTAGCACATAGTTACTACAATAGCGAGTCAAGTAGTACATAGTTACTACAATAGCGAGTCAAGTACCACATAGTTACTACAATAATGAATAAGTGCACTTACTCCTTCCTTCATTTGAAATACAATAAATCACAGGAAGTATAATGATGTTGAGACTGTGAAAAAATCTCACATAAAACTGCGCTTTATTCTTATGTTTATGAGTCCTTGGCAATGTTGAAATGTGTATCTTTCATCAAGACTAGTTCAAATATATAAACTGGTGAAACGTAACTGTAAATATATATATATATATATATTTATCTTACCACGTGCAAATGATTCCCAGCAAGCCTTAAATGTACACACGTGTGCTGGTTAGTGTGCTAGCGAACAAGAAAAAAAAAAGAAAATAATACAACGATTTGTAGTTGTAGCGTTGCTCTGTGGTGTTTAGTTAAGTTACTAACTCGTCAGTGAGAAAGCGAGCAAGAAAAAAGAGAAAATAATACAACGATTTGTAGTTGTAAGTTGTGGCGTTGCTCTGTGGTGTTTAGTTGAATTACTAACTCGTCAGTGAGCTAGCGAGAAGTTAATACAACGATTTGTTGTTGTAAGTTGTAGCGTTGCTCTGTGGTGTTTAGTTAAGTTACTAACTCGTCAGTGAGAAAGCGAGCAAGAAAAAAGAGAAAATAATACAACGAT